TTTGGGGCTTTTTGTGCGATTCCTACATCTCACGGCATTCCTTCTCTGAGTCCTTAATACGCGAGTATTGACCATTGCTCACATAGTTACAGCGATAATTACTGTCAGTCCTTATCTACTGCCAGCATAAGATTGCCTTCAACTTATTCGTATACTGCTAAGAAGATGGCGGGCGGCGGCACTGAAATAGAGATGGTCCCCGTCAAGAAAAGCACGTGAAACCATTACCGGGCCATACACTAAGCATGCAAGGCTCTATACCGAGGTTATAGTCCCCCTTTAGTAGATAGAGTATGGCTTTAGGTATATTAAATTAAGATATCCATATACTCCATATTCTATCTACTTAAGGGGAACTATACCCCTTTAAGGGCCAATAAGGTGGCTTCTAAAGAGGTCTCCTTGAACGGGGCCCTATGGGAAACCGGCCTGGAGCCTGGTTTTAGATGGGTTGAATAAGTGTTGCACAAAACACCCCATGGCTTAGGGTTAAGGATTGCTTAGAATTTAGGAAACTATATAATGAGCCTCTATGAAATGACCAAACCCATTTTGTGCAGGGTCTAGCTTAGCTATTTGATAGCGGAGTATTTAAGGGGAAGCTCTCACGCTTAGTGTAACTTCAAGAAGCCTCTGAGAATGCCATGCTTTCAGCATGTTGTGAGACGAATTTCAACCAGCCAACACCTGGGTTCAGGGTTTAGGGCAAAGCAGGCACTGTCGAACATGTTCAGATGGATGTCAACATGTCCATAGAAGAGACATCAAAGGACACCGCCCATCGATACATTTGAGGGCGGGCAAATGCAAGTCTGGAGAGGGGCACCCAGGATACATTGCTTAGGCTACTACCTCCATTGCACCCATGCTATGTCTTTTGTCTACATTGTGTCTGCGAATGTCACATGAGCCATGGACTAAAGTTCTAGTCTGTTCCTTAAGGGTCCCCCAAAACCCACGATATACATCCCCTCATACGAGTAGGTCCCCCCAACCTAACTTTAGTCGTAGCTCACATGAAGATAGTGGGCTGAATCTAACCGAAGTACTCAACTACCTCTGCACTCCACCGTGTCAAGAACATTCAAGAACCGGGCTCCTGCACAACCTTCTTCGATTCCGTGGGTGATGTAGGAGGCAGCGTGCCTTCAGCATGCTTGGGCAATTCAGACAAGACATAGCATGACAAGCGGTACAGCGCTATTCCCACATGACGGTTCGAACAGATACCATCCGGCTACAGAATCGGCCGGGCAGCTGGAGCTATCAGACTCCGCACTGCTTGAATCCCACTCGACCTGCCATGAGTCTAACTGCAAGTGGAATAAGTGGAGCAAGGCAATAGCTCGTACAGCATGTGCTCTGGCTGTGAAGCCCGCGATTTTGATCAAAAGTCAACAAAAACACAGGAACCGCGGCTGAGGTATTATTAGGTCATCGCATCGCTTTCTGCAAGTTTTGCAGTTTGCCCGGTTGCTACCACAGGTCCCGTGCTTTCCCGGTTTGCCAAAGAAAAGGAAAGTAGCACGGTGAAACCGAGCCTCGTCCTTGTCAGCCCCTGGGTGGAAGACCCGACCCGCCAGCAGATCTTCAATGCCTTCTTGTAGCCCGTGGGCTATGGCCAATATCTGTGCCTGTTCTTCGCGTTTAATGTGCACATACACGGACCAAAAAACTCTCCCCTGTCCTGTTCCTTGGTGCCACCCTTGAGCAAGGAAGTCTGGAGATCCAATTCGCTTCTGTCGACAGACGTGACATTCACCGAAGCTAACGTGCATAACCTCTGCTTTGCCTTTGCTCTCCCACTGCATTGCCACGGAACTTGATGTCAGGCAGATCCTTCAAGCTGGCAAGTGTCAGGGGAGGGCATTTCGACAACGGACGGACCGAAGCGGTCCGTCTGGCCCTGGACTGCGCTGACAGCGCTTTCAAGCACAGAGATGCCGAGGGCCGGGAAGCCTTGACGACGCTGCCGGCGCCTTTGGTCCGCCTGAGTCTCTGAGAGCATCCTAGGTCAGAAACGAGGCATGCGACATCTTCTTTAAGAAGCAGGCCGCCGTGTTTGATCTCACGGTGCTTGCCGCGGAGTTGCCCTGACTCCGCATGTTTGCTTCACCTGGGCTACAGCCAAGGAATCCAAGGAACGACGGCAATGTCAAAGGTAAGTTGCAGACATGGCGTCGCTCAATTCAGGGCTCTTGGCCCTGTTGGCGTGAAGCACAAGGACTCAAGCTGCCGCCAGCCATGCCGCAGTCCTTGGGGGCAGCTATGGCATGTCTAATGCACTCGTTTCGATCTTGTAGTACTTGGTGCCAGCAAAGGGACTTTGCAGCACGCGGCTGGACAAGAAGCTTGAAGGAAGAATTGGCATAAGCAAAACTTGAGGACATGTGAAGATGTGGATGCAAATACTGAGCACACGTCCCATCGCCTTTTTCAGTTTTGAGCGGTCTTCACTCACCGGCGACGAAGCAGCGAACGGCTGTTGTGCTCAGACTTGCGGCGTGCTGACGTATGGCTGCTTGGACCACCTCCAGCTTTGCAGCAGGCTTTGCTGGCTTTCTCGCACTTCCTCCACGTTCAGCTTACTCACTGTAGCCCTTGGTACTCTTCTTCCGCAGTTGGCCACGGCTGATCTCTGGGAGTTCCAGAACCTCTGCCCTGCAGGAACCAGCTCTTGAGCTCAACAACAATCTGCACCGCCCGGGCTCCATGCCAAGGAGCTTCGGCAGAGGTGGTCCACCGAAGACGGAACTCAGCCAAGCCCGAACGACTTCGTAGGCCAGAATCCGGCTAGTGTCAAACATGTGGCTGCAGGCCCTTACCATACAGACGGTCAGATTGGAAGGCACGACCCCTGCTCCCTGATGCTCTTGGGCTAGGGCTGAGAAATGAGCCGTCACAGCTGGGTCTACGTTGCGGTCTGCCAATCCATGAAGCCAAAGGACTGGCATGCTTCGATACACCACGCTTTTCACCCCTGCTGCGGTGTCCAAGCCAGCCTCCTCGAAGCGTTCGCCTCCACGAGCAGAAGAAGCAAGGGCGATCAATCCGTGGACATCACATCGCCGTGCCGCAGCCCAGACCGCCGGGCCGCCGAACGAGAAGCCAATCAAGATCACGGGTAGTACGCCGTACCGATCCCTCATGAAAGATACCGCAGCCAGCACATCCTCAGCCGCCACTCGCAAGGAGCTCAGATGCTTCAACTTGCGCTTGGGCCAAGCCGCACCGCCCAGACAATGACGCCACGAAATTTGCAGGCTGGCACAGGTAGGACCCTCTCTTGCACAGAGCACGTCGCCGTCGAAGCTCAAGTTTGCGCCGTTGGCGAAGCTCGCACCAATCCGTGCATAGATGGAGTTCCTGGCGGCTCTGGACGTGCGCTTCGTCAAGGGCAACCCTCGGTCTGCAGCATCAATCCCTGGACCCATCCCCCCGTTGCTCCCAGGCGCCATGATCAGAATTGCTTCAGGATGCCGTTTTGGAGCATAAAGAACGCCCGGGACGGCCGAACCAGAAGACAATGGGATCTGAACATCCATCCCATGCTGCCAGATGCTGAGTCCCCCAGCCCCTCGCCTCACCGTCGGCGCCGCGGACGCGGGCCGGCAAGACCGGCAAGCCATGGCGCAAAGACATGCAGGCCAGTGGCATGCTCAAGCAGATCTGATGCAAAGCTTGTTGGACACTCTCATGTAGGAATCTCTCATTTCTCATGACCACGTAGATCGAGAGATGTCTGAGCCATCTGGCATGCTAAGGGTTTTACAAGCATTGGGACAGCTTCAAACTCTTCCACCTAGAAGCCGCTGAGACCTAATTCGGAGGTTTTTCCAGCTCCAGAGCTTGGCGCGTGATGAGTCTTGCCGAGCACCACGAATGGCTTTTTGTCGGACTTGCAGGGATAAACAAGAGCTGTTCGGCAAGACCTGCATCCTTTGTACATGCGCTCTCAGCCCCACCCACCACCTCCTTTGGTCCAACCTTTGGAGGTTGGCGGTCTGTCCGACTGTCTGCCGCCAAAACCTCAGAGCACACAGGGACTTGGGAGAAAGCCGCCCGGTCTGACGCTCACACAATTCACAGTGCTACCCATGGCCTCCACCACCTTTGCCACCGTAGTAGCCTCCTGAGATGCTCTGAAACAACAAAGAAGCACCATTTTTTTTTCAAACAAATCCAAGGGAGTCCTCCGCCTCCGCCTTTTTCCTGCGCGTAGTAGCCACCTCCTGGCTTTATCTTTTGATGATTTGTCCGACGGTAGCTGGCAGGATGAGAAACTGAGCTGACCCACCACCACCGCCGCCTTGAGCATAGAAACCACCTGGAGCGGGGATTGGAAAAGGTGTTGCCGTATTTGCCGTAGCGTCTGAGAAAGCACCTCCTCCACCACCTTGCGCGTAGTAGCCACCACCGCCTCCACCGTCTCCTCCCTTGGAGTAGTAGCCACCTCCTTCCCAAAGAAAATTAATGATCGTCTAGAACTCGCACATGAGCCTGGAGCCATGCCTCCACCACCTTGGGAGTAATAGCCACCGCCACCGCCACCACCCCCTTTTTGGGAGTAGTAGCCACCTGCGCCATGCCCATGCAACTGCTGCAGCATAGGCAGTTCACAGCCGAACCTCCTCCATCACCTTTACCTGCGGACCAGAAATTTGGAGACTTTCGAGACATCTCATGGCAGCTGACCCCTTTCCAAAGCAACATGAGCCTTGGGAGTAGTATCCGCCTCCGCCTCCGCCCTTGCCATAGTACCTGGCGCCCACTTACATAGAAGAGACACACAAAGGGATCCCCTCACTCGATCGCCATCCACAAGCATGGATCTCTCGCTGGTATAGATGCCACCGTACAGCACATGCTGCGGGCACCCACCCCCGCCGTCGCCACCTTTTCCTGCAGCCAGGGCATGCAGCACATTCCCACGTAGTCAGCAAGTGCTCACACGGTTGCACCTTTACCACCAGACTGGTAGTATCCGCCGCCACCGCCTCCCTTTTCCCCTGGAACGAGGGCATCTTGCGCTGTCATCACTGAGCAAGCAACTCAGCAAGGCTTCACGTGTAGTGCCTCGAGGGCTATCCCGAGCGTCGCCTGAGCCTGGCACATGTCCCAACTGCAGAACTGTTTGGACTCACGGAGCACGTGATCCAACTCTGAGCGCTCTGCCCATGCCCTTGCCGACCCATCTCTTCGCAGACATGGCAGCTGCATTCTGAGCCTCAAAATGCATCTGTTTGGCCAGACCCCTCCCAGTTCAAGCAAGCAGGGCTGCGGCAGACGCACCTTTGCCACCTCCGCCTAGATGGCGATGCTGCAGCTTCACAAATCAGTCATTAACGGGCTGCCGGTCCTTGATCCTTCTTTGTCAAGGCTACGTTGGCTTTGACGATGTCCTTGGCGATGTCTTCAACCGTGTAGCCTGCACAGGACGTCATGGAGATATCCGCACTGATGCAGAACGCCAAGCGAAGCGCCTTCTGGAACACCACCCCTATCAGGCACTGCACCAATGATGATGGTCTTGACCTGAGATGAGTCAGTGCCTGGAGATGCTGGACGGGCCCGATAGCAATCAGCTAAGACCCCAGCAACAGACTTCAAAGCAGTGATGGAGGAGATCTGGCAATGCACTTCAGAACTCTCTAGGGCATCAAAAATCATTTTATTCCAGCGCACGTTCTACTGCGTTGTAGTTTCCCTTGAAGCCTTCGGAGGCTCCTGGACCGTCTTCTCATCCGTAGCCAGCATGTGCCAGCTCCTTGAAACCATTTTTCTATGTCCTTTTTTGTACAGACCTCAACATGCATGTCCGTCCCAATAAGCTCTGTGCCCGATGCTAGCTGAACTCAAATGGTCACGCCAATCCATAACGGCTGAAATTGCCTTCAAGCAGGACATGCTCTGAAGATCCTAAATGCATGTTCTGCGCAACCTGCGAGATCTGCTCCATGTAAGAGTCAGCCTTCGGGGACCACAGGAAGGCCTGCAGATGAGGGAAAAACATTGGCCAACGAGATTCAGAAGCGCAAGGTGCAGACAAGGCTGGCTATGCCTGAATCGTGACATCTAAGCGTCGGGTCAGGACCTTCCGCCTCAACAGAACGTGCATTTCTCAACTTGTGCTTGACTCTCTGGCTTGCAGCAGCGGAGCCTCACGGAGTACTCTTGATTGAAAACTTCCATGATTTGGTTGACCGACTTCTCCTCCCATTCACATAAATTCAAAACGTTGTGGTAACTTTGTGGTAACGGTATGCGCTTCTGCTCTTGCATGGCCTGGTCGGGAGTCAAATTCCAGTATGGGTACAGAAGGTGATCACACCTTGTTCGGCAGCTGGTGAATCATAGATGTGGCAAATGAAAGCCATCTCCAGCCTCTTGCTGCAAACCGATGGATCCTCAGGATTCGCGGCTTTCAGATGTGAAGCCCAAAGTCCCTGTCACCTGCATGATTGAGCTGTCGGCTCCCTCAACCTTGGCCGCGATTTCATCCAGCGCCTGAAGGACTGAAAGCTGTGGAGGTGATTCTGTACCCTCTCATCATGTCCGCGCGCCTGAACTTTTTCATCAGCCGGCTCGGCCTGGACACTACCTTGCTCATGTCGCAATGCCAAAGCAAATATGACCTGAAGCTGGCTAAGAACAGGACTTTTACCTTTGTACGCCCCCTTGCCACCTCTCCTGATTTGTCGATGGCTCTCTAGCCCAAGCCCAACAAACAGCAGCTCTAAAGGCAGGCAGACTGCAGTCCTTGCTGCGTAAGCAATGAACCCAAACCTCAGCAACAACTGACATTCGCCACACCTGATATTTCATCAGGGAAGGTTATTAAAAGCCAATGGGTTGCTGGCACTTTTGCGATTTCTTCGATCACATCCTTTGCCTCACTTGTGGCCTTCGTTCATCAAGCCCAGGCACAGCCTTAACACTCGAACCCTGATGTGCCGTGGGGCCTTGTCCGACAGTTCCAAGCGGAGGTCGGTGCAGCAGTACTTCTTTGCTATTAGCCGGCAAGCCTTTGCGTGTCACGTGATGTTAGCAGCCGCATGCAGGCAACGCAGGGGTCTACCTGCAGGTCCGCCAGCAGCTCCCCAAGCAACTGGGTTCGGAAGACCGTCTCTGCCTTGGAGTTGGATGAAGTTGAACTACGGTGAGCCCAAGCTTTGTGCGCATAGCTTGAAAAACGGAAGCGAACGCTGCACGCACGCACACTCACAACCAAAAGCCTGAGTCAGCAGCTAAATTTTCAGTGGTCAGGTCTCCCTGCCGAGTCCACAACACGCTACCACCAACTCAAATTTCAGCCTTCAGGCCTCTAAGTAAAGCTCTCGCGCTCTGGCTAGGGATGCGACACCTGTACACTGGACCACATTGAGGTGAACACAACAAGAGAGCAAGATATGGCTGAGAGAAGAGCTGGATACATCAGTGACTTCTGGCAGGCTCTCGCCAGTCAGTGTTGCGATCTCCGTCCGCAGCGCATCTGCAGGCAAAGGCAGGAATGACAGCAGTTGAAGCAATCAGTTTCGCATGTAATGATCCGGCTTGTGGGGAGAAGGGTATGATGTTAATCCATTCTGCCTGGACGTTTGCTTCACAACTTCGAAAGCTCTATCTTTAATCAAGGAGCTGAGAAACACGTACTTCGCCCCTGTGCCAGATCTAGCACTGCAACTGTAGTAAGGTTTCTTTCCACGCGTTGAATGTCCTGATCGACTTACAGTCGATCGCGCAAACATGCTGTCTGAACGAACGACCAAAACCATGACAACCATCTGCCTGATTTATCCTGGGACTGAGTGGTGCAGGCATAAAGGCATTTTTTGACGTCAGAGCCGCAGCGAGAGCAGCCGGCAGTGTTGTTGTGCACCATAGACGTCTCGATCACCTGCACTGCCGGCCAGCACCTCAGAAAAGTCAATCGCAGAAACATCAAGCTCTGCGAACGGCATACAAGGATAGCATGTACACTGCACCTGTCGGGCGCAGGTGATCTTGATGGCCCAACAGGAGTCCTGGATCAAGCATTCGAGCCATGTAATACAGCACAACATCAGCTCCGCACGAAATGTCTCTTAGGGCTTGGCATCGCAAAAGACACCGAGAATGTTCTGCAGAGGAACCACTGAAGCATCCAATGCCGGACTGCTTTTGGCCATCATGTAAGACTGCCTCAGATGCAGACACGGCGAATGCAAGGTCATGGATGCTGGATGTGCAAGCAAGGAAATTCTTTTCAAGGACGCCACTCATCTGCAAACATGATGTCGTAAGTTATCTCCTCAGATAGTTGGCCAAGCAGGAGGTAGACATCTCATGTACGGCATCTCCAGACAAAACGGGCTGAGCGAACAGACGTCATCAAAGTCAAGAAGCGTTTACACCCGCGTTCTTGGAACGGACCACTGTTGCCACATCACCGAGTTTGCACGAAGCCTTGCCTCGGGCGTTTGACAGCTTACTTGACAACGCTGCTGTTGCGTGCATGTGACCTGGTGACCTGGTGCATACGAGGCACGCTGCCCTGCGGGCTTCACGGAGGATTCCCAGTCGCTGTACGCCTGATGAAGCACTTCGCTAAAAATGCTGTAACCAAATGCCCAAACTTGGTGAGTCCGCTTGAGCCTCTTCTGCCGAAGCACTAGGTGAGGTGCCCCAAGGAAGAAGAGTTGCCTCTACGTCCTCTCAAGCTGCACTGGCTTGACTGAAGCATCACCTTTCTGCCAGATGTCCTCTGTTGATCCGTCAGGGTGCCATATCCGGATCGGGAAGAGGTCGCGCCTTAGTCGTGACAGCAATACTCCTTCCCACTCATGGCCCAAGAGCAACCAACCTCTGCTACTGAGTGACAGCAGCCTGTCATCCAGCTCAAGCAAGTGATGAAGCGTGTAATCCTGAAAGAGTGTAAGTGAATCACAGCAAAGCTGCAGTCACAGGGAAGCTGAGCACCTTGCTCCGGCAATACTGCCATGGCACAGCCAGCTTTCCGTAGCTCGAGGGTCTGCTTGCAACCCCGCACTCGCCTCTTCTGCGGTGCTTGCAACCGCCTCGCGGAACTGAAGCAGGTCCAGGCCGGGCAGGCCACCAGCAATGAAACGTACCTTGAGGTCCTTTTGGCATGACAGACTGGCAACATAGTCTTCCACATCCCGCAGGATCTCTTGCCACCGGGAGATGAAGCTGGGGTCCCTGGTGCCGCAGATCGTCAGGACGGAACCCTGCCCAAATTCCAGGTCCGAAGGTGAGAAGGGAAAGGCCAAGTTCCCAGCCGTAGCTTTGCGACCCTCAAAGCCCCAGTGAAGCAGCGTTGCGCGCAGGAGGGCAAGGTGCGATTTGTTCCGCTCCGAGCTTCCGCCGGAGACTGAGATCACAAGGCCAAGCTCCTGCTCGCCTGGCTTCAGCTCGCACTCTTCCACGCCATTCCGGCCGTACACTATTGCATCCTGGCTGGTGCCGACATCTGTAGTGGGAAGTAGGTCAATGGCCACTGCACGGAAGCCGCGCACCTTTGCACCTTTGGGGACAGCATGGGACAGCACTACACAGTTGAGTGTGATGCGTGGAAAGGTGAGTCGCTGGAAAGCGCTTTGAAGCATCCTGCCTTCAAGCTTCACTGTTGGTGGAATCCTTGTCAGCTGCGTGCCCTGCACTTCCACAACACGGTCGGAAAGCTGAGTGAAGACTGCATTTTTGGTGCTCAAGACACCGCCAGGTAGACCGAAGCAATGGGGATGGCTCTTCTCGTAGAGCGTGTGGGCGGCCACGCTGAGTGTGGTAGCTCGCCTCTGCGGATTCGGGGCCCAGAAACGCGCAGTGGCAGTTGCTCCACTTCTGTCCAGCTCCGCAACCAGACAGTCACTGCCGCTTCCAGGCACCTGGGTTCTTGCTTTTTGGTTTCCAGTTTCTTGCAAATTCTCTCTGAACTCTCTGCTGAGATTCTGTCGCTATAGCTCCGCACTCCAGAACTTTGGCTGCGTGAAGTGCGGACGCTGCTGGAAAGCCACACCGCACAGGCTCGGCAGCAAAGACAGCAGGATCGTAGGCACGGCCGCACAGCCTTTGTTTGAATGATTGGAGCCCTTCTCGCTGACAGTTTCCCAGGCCCTCTTTCCAAGCCAAAGCACACTATGTCTGCGTGCTCCAGCGCTGACATTATCGGCTCAAGACCCATCTGGGCCACAATCACTGAGCCTTGCATCAGAACCCGCAACTGGTCATCAATCGAACAATATCAACCGCAGGAGTTGCTCCGACAGCCTTCAAAGGAGCTCGCGTCAATGTCAGGCATAGGGCCCAGAGAGGTCAGCCGCTGTCCGACCAACTTCCCGCTGTCCAGCTCACTTTGCACCTTGCTGGACAACTTTGTGTGAATTGGGATTCGCACGAAGCACACACTACTGAAAAAAGGGGCTGCCTCAAGAAAGTTGGCTTCTGGGGCCTGGGCCGTCGCAATTGGAACTGCCATGCCCAGCCTTTGAACTGTGATGATTGGCTTGGCCCGCTAGGCTCAGCACTTTTCACACTTTGCACTCTCTTTTGAAAAAAGGTCTCCCGGCTCTTCCAAGATCTTCCGGACTTCCCGAGCAAGTACCTCGACCTGCAGTTGCCGGCTGTGGCCCGGCGTTAATCTCAAGCCGGGCAAAAGCCAACGTCGTGCGCCTGGTTATTTGTGCCGCATCCACCAGCCGAACCCACAATTAATTTGCAGCGCTGTCCCATACTTGCCTGGCGAGCTGGAGATCGCAGCAAGCTTGCGGGAAGGTTGTCCTGCCTGCTGGTGAACACCTTTCAGCATCAGCCGCAAGTCACCTCAATGAGAATCGGTCGAGCAAAGCACGGGCATGGAGCAGTCAGCAGCTCGGGAAGTCCATCCACAACGCATGCATGCAAGGCTAACCCTGTTTGTATCTCGGCCAAGCTTCGGAGAACATGGTCCAGTGCTGTGAACGACGTCCGAGTAGCCAGATAGTAAGGTCCAGGATCCTTGGATCATGCATTTCGGCATGCCTGATGCTTCGCAGGATGAGCCACTCTTGAAAATGACAGGCCACAATCGAGCCGGCATCTGCTGCGACAAGATTGAAGGCATTCTCGCCTTTGCTTGCATTCCTAAAACTTTGAAAACTTGCCAAACGTCTCCTAAATAGTCGGGGAAGCATGCATGCCAGACTGTTGTTTCGTGCTGCTTGTCTTCAGCATCTCGTGAAAGCTTTTGGAACTCCATGAACCTCCCACACACCTTGTACCATGCTTTTCGCGACGCAGCACATTGCAACACGATTCTATTCACCCCGGATTCCGCATCAGCCAACAAGTTGTGTGGGTTTGGGTTAAACAGAATCGCTCAACATTCAACACATGTAGAAGGAACATATGCCAGGCCACAAACCCTGATGAGAACCTCGTCACCCCTAGCTTTCCTTCAGTAACCTGCAGATTCACGGCCGTGCACACGATTGTGTCCATACTGGAGATCTACACGACCACATGCAAGCTGACATGAGACTAAGGTTTGGTGGTTTTGGGGTTGTTTAGGGCTTTGTGTCTTAGGTTGCTCAGGCTTCGGCGTAGGGTTTGCGGTTTTGAGTATGTTTGGGGTTGTTAAGGTTTAGGGCTTGGGGCTGCTTAGGGAATAGGGTGTGAGGTTGTTTGTAGTTTAGGTTTTGAGGTTGTGTGGGGTTTAAGCTTTGGAGTTCTGTTTGAGGGTTTGGGGTTGTTTAGGGTCTTGGGTTTGGCTCTCTGAAACGCTCCTCTTTCCAGTCTAGGTCCTTTCAAACTGCGCGGCTGGGGTTGTTTAGGATTTGGGGTTGTATAGTGTTTTTTGTTGTATAGTGTTTAGGGTTTGGGGTCTATTGTTTGGATCCTTTTGGGTTTACGACTTGGGGCCGTTTACTGTGTACAGTTTGGGGCACGCAAAAGAGCGACGCTCTGCACGCTAGCGAATCCTGCCACGCTCAGGGTCCAGTGTTTGGGTTTTTTTCAGTTACGTTTGGGGCGGTTTAACGTTGGAAAGAAAATCCCTGCGATGGGCGAGGAACCAACCAACCGGAGCCCCGACTGACCAATTGACCAACTACCTGGCCGACCAACTGCCTGCATGACCAAGCGATGTTGACGACTAACCGGCTGCCACTTGTCCTGTGGTTGGCCATGGACCTCGAACAACACTAAAACAACAAGTGCACCCAGCTGTAGGGTCGTGACTGTATGGGAAGTCAGCTGATGCTATTACATCGGAAACAGAGGCAACCTGAAATCAAGGGCACCTACAAAGCATCACAACACCTGACAAGAGATCACGATGCTGACTTCACTTGCTTACCTTAGAAGCAACGCAAGGAGCTGATTGCTCTTCGCTGCAGTGATCATGGCATGTCGGAAAACTTGCACTAGCTCCCTTCGCAAAATTTGTGGCAAACAGACAGGACAGCTCTCAACCATACGGACTCTTCTGCCACAGTTACCTTGCGGTTGACAAGCTATTCTTTCTCATCCTTGTTCCTGCTCTGCGCATTTATCCTGCCCATGTGCGGCCAGGTGCGCCACGACTTCGAAGCAGAACCAAGTCCCTTCCTACTGGCGTGCTATCTAAATGTGGCTGCGCCGTCCCGTGACACTTCCCTGTGACCATCCGCCCGTGCCTGACAGTCACCGCCATGCAGTCGCACCAGACGACCAGCCGCCTCGTGCCGGCCCTATGCGCGTGGAGCCACAATCAGAAAAGTGCTTGCCTTTCGACGCTTCGTTCGCCACGCCCCGCTGAAAGTAGGCCCCCGTGCCACCCACCAAGCCCGCTCATGCCCCTATCCGAGCGTACTGAAGCCGTTACTCAACACCGCAAATGCACAGTGCTGCAAAATTGTGTTTCTCGTATCTTTTGTGCAGAGGGTGACAAAATTGCGTTCCCTACATGTACCGGCCAGCTCTGCTCCTTCGCTCAGTTCGACATGTGCTCAGCCGCGCATGTCTGCAATGCTGGCTGGCTAACATGGCCTGAACACTGCAAGGCCAGGTAGTTAGAATCAGAAGCCACGCGGACGGGCCCTTGCTAGGGAGTCGTGTCAGCTGCCATTCCACTTGGAAATCACATGTCAGCATATGTCAGCCATCAACGAATGCGGTGCTTCATCTCTGGTATTCATGTCGCTTCTGAGCTCCACACGAATGGCAACTTCAAAAGAGGCCTGCAGGGACACATGCATGAGTGGCCAATATGGCCCGACGCGCTCAGGTCTAGCATAGCCAAGCGGCTTCAGGAAATCCGTATCCCAAGATGGCAGTCGGAGCCAGAATTCTGAACGTATTGCCGGCATTTGTAGAACGACGAAAGCCGCCCGTGGCACAGATCCTGGCCTTAGGATTGACCCCTGGCAACACGGGCTTGACGCTTTAAAACTCATCAAAGGCACGGAAAACCGGTCAAAATGGTGTCCAACTCGCACTCGCGCATTCAGCCGCAACATTTGCCGCGAGTCAGAGGATCTACGTGTGCATGCTCGGTTTGGTGTTGCTGAGGACCAAGGATGTGAAAATGTTGCGAAGACACGTGGATGTCTGAGCGGATGCGAAACGTCAGTCCGAGCGAAGAAAGCCAGCTGCTACAGCACAAAACAAGGATGCTCGGACTGTGACTTGTTGCTCGTCTAAGCAAGCACGCCCTGCGAAAGCCAGCCTGTAAGATCAAAGAAGGTAGTGTCGTTGCCTTCGGAAAGGTTGGACTTTGACTGATGACAGAATACATGCGAGAAGGCAGCCCTCTAAGCAGCGTGCAGAGCATAATTGTCTCATGCGGCTGCCATGTCTCGACACTTCTACCGTTGACCTCGAAAGTGATATCCAGACCAAGCTGTTCAATTGTCTTGCCTGTGACCCGTCCAAGCCCCGGACTGTTTTAAAGCAAGCGCTGAAGGCATCAAACAATTCCTGTAACAAATCCAGCTCATCGTGAGAAGCCATAACCAAAAGCTCCATGGTGATGCCTGCTGTGCGGCTTCAAGCTTTTTGTGACCCTCGATGGCGAGCACCGCCATTGCCTGCAGATAGCAAGATCACATGCTTCCAAAGTTATTGCCCAATGCTGGTCCTGGGGAAGAGGCTCTACCCTTGCAGCGACAAGGGAGTCCCAGGCCCGGTTTCGAGCCACAAAGCTTGGAGAACGACTTTCCACTGTAGCATTCCTTGCATGCAAAATGGTTGCTTTCTGGCGTGCAGTCTTGTCACGTTCCGTCGCCTTTATTTGAGAAATCAAGTCTAAATGGGTTGTCAAGCAGCCAGGTTTCGGCCGCCAACAGGTTCGCTCAAGCCATCATTGCTGAGAGACTCAGCATCTTATGTACAATCTGAGCGGCTAGATTAACTTATGCACATGGTGTTTCCTGCGAGAAAGAGCCTGCTCGGCTCACGTTCTGGCTGGTTGTCCGGCTAGGCTGCATGCTACCCGAGGCACTCGGCAGCAAGCTATTGAGCATGCTCGCCCGGCCGGCTGCTCCGCTGCGGCGGTCCGTCATGAACTTGACCTGCTGCATGGCGGCGAGGCGGTTGAAGGCAAGAAAAAGACAGGATGACAGATATCAAGAAGCGAGAAACAACAAGACTGTAGGAGACAGATCAAGAAGCGCAAAGAAAGAAACTCCCTAAACAAGAAGCCTGATGTTTAACATTATTTACCAGAACACAGAATGCAAAGGTGAGGCGTGCAGACTGGCCCAAATTCGGCTGCAACAATGACATCATGAGTATCATCATGATAAAATAATCAATGTTGAAATACATGAAATGGGAAACGAATGGCCTCCTTGGAATTCCATCACCGAAACAGGCAATCCATCCATGCGTCCTGAAATCCTGAACCTGAAAACTCGTGAACCAAACCTCAAGCAGAAGTCAAGTAGGAATATGATCCGAGGTAGACCGACCATTGAATCCTGGCTGGTTTCATGGGGGGAAGTCCATGGTAGCGTAGGCAAGTCTAATGAGGAAGCTGTATCGGAGCAGCAGCCCTAGGGAGAGGACTGTAGAGGCCAACAGTAAAAACGAATGAAGCAAGCAGGAAAGCATGGATCAAATGGGAACTCCCTGACAAATGCCTTTCGACATGGTTGTGGAGATTGCTCCATACCAGGGTCTCGCGCCATGATGGTTCATCTTTCTTACCGTCGAGCACGGCGTCTTCTGGGTCAAGGCACCTGCCCTGGCCCTGCTCTGCCACATCCCGGTTCGTTTGAGCGTGAACCAGCTTGCGGGCCAGGATTTCAAGTCCAGGGTATCCGGGCCAAGCGTGGTCTCTAAGCGCAACTGCTCACAGCTCCTGAGGTCTGTAGTATTGTCAGGCCTTCGTGCTTACTCAAGGACTTGAAATCCACGGCAGCCAGTCGTTTGATCGCTTTATTGTAACAGTAAACGAACCAATTTCGTGTATGAATGCGGAAATGAACACGGACAGGGACACGTGGAGTTTTTACGGTAGGACATGCAGCTACTCCAGACTAATCTTAGCTTCTTGTTGGCTGCTTCTGCGAGGGTGCTTTTATGCGGTGCCACAAGAATCCTCCAAAGATGTGATAGCCTCTAGGTACTTAGTTTGCATTGAGGTCAAAACGCGCGCGCATCCACTTCTGGCGACTTTCAGATTACCTGATGGATGCCTCCGAAAAGCGGTACGTGGCGTGAATAGAAAAATGCCGCCTGGTTTTTTTCTAGACAAATCGTCAAGAACTGAATCAGCTCATTTGAAATCTCATCCGAGCACACGGACCGAGGTTTTTGAGTCTTTGCAGAATATTGGCGTACACATGTTCTCTTATTGTTCCAGCATTGCGGAGCTTGGCCAGCTTGTGGATAAGAACGCCGCCAACCGACAACTCTTAGCGAAGAATGTCTGTCACAGCTCTATACGCTTTACCAGCATGAATCTCTGCAATTCCGTGTGGTCGGTGTCGGGGCAAATTTCTCACACTGGTATCGCGAAGCGCCAAGCTGGTGAGATTATCTACCCTGACGTCATGTTGGTATACTCCATGCATTGACAGCATCGCCATATGGGTCAGCGATGTTGTATAGGCCTGTCCCTCTCGGTCTGCGAGTGCTTCACCCAAGGCATCGCAGTTTGTGGCGACGGTATGCATCTTGATTTTTTTGAATCTGAGTATAAAATCGACTGGACAGTCTCTGTGGAACCAAGGCGACCTCCAGGTTAGTATGGAGGAGCAGAGGCAATGACGTATTTGGACCATAGTTACAACGATGCAACGCCGTTCTAAGCAAAACCTTCTTAAACAAGCTGACTCTGATCTTTGGCCTCGGCAACAAGCAGATACAGAAATCCTATGAGCAATCTATGAACGTTCAGGCAAGGCGACTAGACAGGCGAGAAGCAACTGCTTGTGCTGCTCACGCCATGTGTCTGCTTGCTTCCTCCCCATTGCGAAATTTGCTGGTGGAGCCCAATGTGCAGAGCTCTCGGCGAACACTAGTAACAAGAATCATAGTAATAATAATGGTACTAACCCTACTAACAATAATCGTAATAGCAGGAATGCTACTAACAAGAATAATCAGAAGACTAGCATTAAAAACAATAGTGATAAGAGTAATCACTTGAGGCGTGTCTCCTAGCCAGTCTCCAGTTAAGAAGGGCTGGCGGCTTTTATGTTTGATGGAGCTTCAAATCAGCACATTGAAACTTCTGCGCATGTAGCGGTAGCAAGAAAAGGAACGTGCACCGCATGGGCAGAATTCTTACCTCAAATTGCTTGGCCTTGATCATCGCAGAGGAGCGCCGCCTATACATTGCCCTGAGCAATGTCACACATACACACACACACGAACAATGCCCGCATCGGCTCATGAAGCAAGCTCCGTCAATGACTGGGCCGCACGCTGCTTGCCGATCTCAGACCGCCTCTTCTTGACATCCGCAGCCTGCAAACCGTCTGTCTGCAAAGAGTTAAAATTGGCGCACATGCACTTCAACTGGTACTCTGAGCCACTCGCGTCAAGGTGAAGACCCAGGCGCTTCGAGGCTTTCAGCAAGGACAGAACCCTCAAGGCTGCTGCTGCTGGGAAGCAAAATGCAAGACGAGCTTTGAGGCCACTGCGATGACAGCTTTGATCCCTGCGGCATGCCCAGTCCCTCCAAGGAGCCTGGAACAGCGGCCACCGTGCTGTGTCAATACACATGCCTTGCAGGTGCCGATGCCACCTTCTGAGCACTAATGTAAGCCACGAGGACAGCCCAAGGTAACGTTTATATTAAGCAGCAAAAGCTTGGTTTTGTGGATTTCCAAGGCAGGCGCCTGCAGCAATCTTGATGGCACTCAAGGCCTCAGAGCTGCCAGAGCTAGCCACAGTTCAGCTTCTCTGTGCTCCAAAGCGAGCAGAAGCAGAGTGGCACACTGACGCGCGGATGTCGGCAGTTCCGAATGCCTTTCACTTCAACCATCTGCGCTTGAACCCCAAGCAGAAATGTGCACATACTGGAAAAAACATGTTGGGTCCGCCATCTTCAAGGCTTTCTGAAATTTGCTCGCCACTGTGGTCGTTGGTGGGGCGCTCGAGCTTCTCCTCCTTTTAGAGCACTCGAGGCATCCAGGAAACTCTCAGGGAAACTCTCAGGCCTGGCCTGGAGGTACCGGGTCGGAGGTCCTGAGAATGAACTGAAAATAAACTCAGAACTTCTGCCAGGCGCACAGCAGCTGAAAGCCCTGCCTTCTCAGAACCTCTCAGCTCGGCCAGTTCTCTCGCCCTCATATTGCGACTCCAGGCGGCATCAGGAATCTCATCGGAAGCCTAGCTTTTGCGGAACAGCTAACTGCGCTCATCCCGGTCAAGGCAGACAATCTGGCCTGCAGTGCTTCCTCCAGGTGCGTCCATGACCTGCAACTCATGGCTGCAAAGTTCCTCGAAAGCCTTTGAGTTGGACCAGCTTTGCCAAAACCCTGGCAGAATCTAGCGTCTGGAGCCAAAGATCCCTTTTTGTCTATTGCGGGCCGTTGCACTTACACAACCAACCCAAAAACCCTACTTAAGGTAGTACACTGCTCCACGCATCTCAAAGAGAATAAATCACTGTCAGTGCCTTCTCTTTGCCTCCCACTCTTCGACACCATTTGCCTGAAGCCGATCGTAGGCCCAATCCAAGCGTGAGGATCAAGGCTGACATTCCCTACTGCTGCCTGTATGGCCAGCTGGTCAAGCGAGGCTTCCGAAGCTCCACTTGGTTGGAGCCCTGGCTGCGCAATCACAGAAGATTCAAAACTGATGAACACATCCACAAGCTCGCCCGCGCTGCTGTTCCTTAGGCCTTCGAGCATGTCAGACAGGAACTGCAGGTACTTAGCCAGGAAAGGACGCCCGACACAGTTGGCCCTGAAATTTCGCTACTTCTCGAAGAGTCTGAGATCCGCACTCTCTGGTGCAGTGGGACCACCAAGTTCGGATTGCGGTACATGGCCTCAGACAGCTGTTCATCTCAGTTGGCGTCAAAGTAGAAAGCCCTTATGGCGTGGACCGCGAGAAGGCAAACTTCTTGAAAATCTTGAAAATGTAGTGCCTGCTGCTTTTCAGCAGGCCTTGGTATCGAAGAGCTACAGCTAGAACATGTGTCCCTGCTGCATGACACTGATGCTAACTGGGTTGAACACGCGACACGCAACTCTATCCAGGACGACGCAGAGCCCTTCGAACAAAGCAACAATGCAAGCTGAAGTACTCTTTGGCATGCTCGTTGACCCGCCTCAATCCTTGGCGGCACGGAGGCATTCCGCTTCCGCTTGTGACTCCGTTGTGTGCGTCTTACCTCCGCCACTTCATGGAATCTCCCTCCGTCCCTGTGCTCTGGGACGAGCCCACCTCAGCCTGCCCGCGAAAGCAGAAGTTCGCATGGACAGGTTGAAAATGGCGCCGGCTGATCAGCTTGCGGTACAGGTCCCTGTCAGCTCTGCCACAATACGAGGCATTCCAACACAAAGTAAAGGAAGCCTGGTAGTGTTGGCGGTGAGCGCAGCACCTAAAGGTCGGTACGTTACTGCAACCGATTTTGGGACATCAAATGGACGGGACCAAGCCTAGGAGGGCTGCATCGGAGAACAGGCAAATCAACGAGTCCTGCCAAACATGTTGCCACAACTTGCGGCAGCTGCGGCTAGGGGATATTAGTGGTGCAAGCCTTCCACGTTTGACAGAACTCTGGGGACGGCATCTGCTTCAATGAATTTCTACACACCATTAGAATTACGAACTTGAGTCACGCTACTGCTGACATATTGCTGATGCATGTCCTCGCCCATCTGTAGCCGCACCTCCAGCTAGCCGCTAGCCCAACCAAGTGCCGCGCCCACTCGTAGTTGTCGCAAGCCCGGCCTCGCGCCGCGGCGCCATCACGCCATGATCAGCATACCTCAATGCTGGATTATGCTGGGTTATATGCTTGTTGGACCGCCTCTCCAACCCCGGTGAAATTGAGGCCTTCACAGGGCAAACACGATGCCCAAAAACGGCTCCCATTCTTCCTGTAGAGATCTCACCTTGACCGCAGAGTGTAGCCGCAGAGCGGCTCTGTTTAAGACACGCCATCGCCCTCGCCTCTTGTATGTGCGACGACTCAGTGAACTCCTCCTGCGCGTCCAACCTGCAATCCGAGGAAACACATGACGGGACAACACCAAAGCACATCCAAGGGGCAGACGGGACTTTCTGCAAATGGCTGCCTATGACTTCTTTCAGCGACCTTACGTCTGGGACGATGATTGCAGAGAACTGATCTCCTGCTCTGCCAAATCCAAGCTGCCTTGTCAAAGAAACTGCGAATGCGCCGGACTGTAGCGCCTTCTCCTGCCAACAGCAGCCCCAAGACCGATTCATCTGAAGGTTAAACTTTGCCCGCCCCCGGTCCTCGCGATGCACACACACTCGCAGCAAGAACCGAATGAAACCTGACCTTGAGCGAAGCAATGGTGAAGGACGAACGCTTCACCAGTCGCTTCAGGGTAGACAGCTGAACGTGGGCAACCCAGGATCTTGTTTTCTCTTTGCCGAGCGCAGTCAGATCGTGCTGTGAAGCGATCACATGGTAGAGGCGGCGCGGCGCTTTCCACTGGCGCCTGCTTCCCCACCTCGTAGCAGCATGTATCATGCCTCCGTGAAGATCTGAAGGTCCTGACCACGAAGGAAGAAGTTGGTCAAGTTCTGTCGTTTCCGAATAACACTCAAGTAACTACTTGCTTTGCAGCGTCCTGCCATGCTGCTCGGCTACCTCTGTACTGCCTGGCCAATTGGAAAGCTCTAGCTCGTGGAAGGCTCCAGACACAATGCACCCTTCCACTCGCAAATTACAAAGTCTGCAACTGTCAACTCCTAGTACCAAGCAGAAAATGGTCAGAGGTGCCTTAGCGAGGGTATTGAAATCCTTGATGCACACATCGAGAGCGTTGGAGGCCTCCTTCATATACCTAAACCAGGAGCACCCTAGGCATCCTCTGCGGGTTAGACCCGGTGAGGGACCGAACTCAGAGGAGCCATCTCAAAGCCCAGTGACTTCCTGAAACTTTCCGGCCCGCCGTTGATGGCAAATATTGTGCAATAAGCCTTGCCAGGGAAGCGGCATTAGATAATGCAGCAATGAAGGTCTTCCCGGGCCTGGTAGTCCAGCTGCGAGACATGCTGAAGGACATCCTTTGCGAGCGGAATTTGAGAAACAGCCACTGCACCAACCTGCCCACCTCAAGGTCTGGAAGATCCGGTGGATCCTCGGAGTAAACCTCCATCAACGCATCCTGACGCGCTGCCCCATGCACGGGTTGTCTAGTGCATCAAGCACTCCTTGATCTTGAACAGAGGTGAGACCGTGCCCACGGTTCCAGCAACGCGTCGGATGTAGTCGCCATCGCAATCAACGCCTAAGAATATCTCCCTACATACCTTTGACATCCTTTGACAATTGCTACAACAAAAACAGCACCCACCACCGCCGCGGTCTGCCGCCTCCGTCACCACCACCTCCACCCCACCTCCAGGAGTAGTGGGTCGAGTGAGTATTGTCTTGCATCCAGTGGTCCAGTAGCTAAACCCAGAAGTAGCACTCTCTGCATGTCGTGGGACGTTCACGTTCGGTGGGAGGGCAAGGCAGAGTCAGGGTGGCGAGATGGCAAGGGAGGTGTTGGCTTCCATCGAAAAGCAGGACTTTCCTCATATTTTGCTACGGTTGTAGGACAATGAGTCAGCATTCACGGAAAGGCGTCTTGGGACGGTGGCAGGGCAACAGACAAGGGGTCAGTGCCCATCCAAGCCAAAGCAAAGGCTATGTTTTGTACATATTGGAATGCTTTGGGATCGGCGTCAGTTGGGGCTTTGGGATTGTTAGGGTTGAATGTGTTGGGGATATGTTTTTTCGGGCTAGGTGTTTTTTGTTATGCTGCCAGTGTTTTTTCTTATGCTCCGGGCTGGGTGCCCGGTTTTAGGCTCGTGGTTTTTTCTGTTATGCGGAAATGTTTGGTTTTTGTAGTCTTCCATTTCTCAATGTGCTTGGTTTTATGCCGACCGTGTTTTTTCTTATGCGGCCCGCCCGACCCCCCGCAAAGCATCAGCATTGTTTTCATGCTCACACTATGCATGGAGAACGTGATTGGACGCGTCTGCAAACTTTGTACATGTACTCGCCCTGGCGATCCGGGGACAACAGGCACTGACGCGATGGCCTTCACATGCCATGACATGTTCCTGGAAGTACCTCTT